GGGACGATTTAAATATTTATCACCTGTAATGATTGTCACCGCCACCCCACCACCTGCCGTTTAGGTCACACATACACACAAACAGAGATATAGAGGGGGCGGTGAATGAGCTAATGCATATTTATCACTCTGCTCCCAGCCTCTGCCACATAAAGTAAGGACAATATTTAAAATGAGTGTGTTCATGTGGACGTTCACATGCAGCTTTGAAGCTGAGTAGCTCATCCAATGTGGATTTACATGTAAATCATTTTACTCAACCTATTGTTGTCAATGTCAATTTTATTTCTATAGCACATTTAAAAAAAACAGTTGACAAAGTGCTAAACAAATACATAAACAACAAGTACAGAAATTACTACAACCAAAGTGAATCACAGGGGAAAAAACAACACTTTAAAACATCAGAAACCTGGGTTACAAAAGGTGCATCTTAAGCAGCGATTTAAACATTTGTAGGGTCTGTGCAGCTTTAATATGCATGGGGAGGCTGTTCCATAGGACGGGGGCGCCCGCTGCAAAGGCTCTATCGCCCTTATTTTTTAGCTTTGACCTCGGGACATGCGAGACCTCCGTGTTCTAACTGGAGAATGGTGGCGTAAGATCAGCCAGATAAGGTGGCGCCAGACCAATTTAGGGCCTTAAAAACAAGCAATAAAATCTTAAAATCTATCCTATAATGCACAGGTAGCCAGTGGAGGGAGGCCAAGACAGGCGTTATGTGGTCAACCTTTTTTTGTTTTTGTTAAAAGGCGAGCAGCTGCGTTTTGGACTAACTGGAGGCAAATATTTCTGATGTAGACCCATGTATAATGAATTACAATAATCCAGCCGAGCAGTAACAAAAGCATGGATGACTTTTTCAAGGTCTTTGGGAGGAAGATAGGCCTTTATTTTAGCTAGAAGTCTTAACTGGAAGAAGCTGGTCTTGACAACTGCACTGATTGGCTTATTGAAAATGAATGAGGTGTCAAAAACAACACCTAGATTTTTAGAAGAGGATCGATTTTGGGAGGCTAAGGGGCCCAAAGTGCCAAGAGGGTCACCCAGTGCGTCTCAACGTCCACACGTGATGATCTCGGTTTTATTTTCATTCAGAGTGAAGAAGTCCATCCAGGTTTTTACCGCCTTTTGAATCTTTGGTTATGGATTTCATAGGTAAGTAAATGTGGACATCATCAGATAAACAGTGATACGAGATGTTGTGTTTCTGGAAAATGGAACCCAGAGGAGCAGCTGACGAAGAGAGTTCAGCTAAATGAACAGAGAAGCTCCTGTCAGTCAGGTATGACTGAAACCATTTCAAGACAATTGTTGAATGATAATTTGAAGTCTTTGTTTCTCCAACTGTTGCCTCAGAGTTCGCTTGTCAATCAAGGCGGGGACGTAATGCAGGGGTTTTTCCTGCATAGAGAAATTTTTGGCGCCCCCAAAGAGGTTTTAGCGAGCAAATCACCAGCGCCAAATCTGCTTTTCAAAAATTCTCTGAATGTATTTTAATAGCACTTTATCAAACACCTGTTGAGCAAGCAGAACATAAACATAAATACGACGTCTTTTAACTTCCGGCAGTCACCTCTCCTCTCATCCACAGCCGCTGTATTTTACACATGCAGCTGGCGCTGGATTTATAAACGAGCTGCTGCGCTACGAATCTCGTGCTAATGGTAGAGATGACTTCCTGTTTATAATATAAAGAGATAGATAGATTTTTATCGTGATAACATTTTTGGCCCATCATCGCCCAGCCCTATCATCAACCCTTAACCACAGTGGTTTTGCCCAATATCAGAAAATGGTTTTATTTGTGAAACAACTGAATCTCAACTAATAAACTAGCAGATTATCCAAATAAAGTGTAACCTGTAAATATATTATACTAACATTATACTTTCTAAACTCATTTATACCTTTACTCCTCCAGGTTGTGGATATATTTTGTTTATCAAATGGTCAGAAATAACAAGAAAATGCATAGATTTTGGTCGTAAGGTAACACATTTCCTTTACTGTACACGTACTGATCATGCTTACTGGTCACACGAAGTCACCCCCCAAAGGCCCGTCCTGAGCCAGGAAAAACCCTGTAATGCTGCTGTTGTTTGTCAGGCTGACTGTGTTAATTCTATGGTGAGTTAACAGTGTAGCTATGGTTAACTGCAGCTAAATATACCTTGTGCAGTGATGTAGAACAGTCACAGCACAGTGAACTGCAGTTTGATGATGCTCCCAGAACGTCAGGCTGACAAACAACTCATCCCAAAGCCCAAACAAAACGAAACACCGTTCTGGAAAAAGACATCAAACTGTGTAAAGTCTAACCTGAGGTAACAAGGACGGAGGGGTCGTCAGAGCAGCGTGTCTGTATCCAGATGACGCCTCCAAATAAAATAAGCGATTCGCATGCCGACAGCCTCTGTGACCTTTTCTGTGACAAGCTGCGAACTGTACTGCGAGTTCCCCGGCACAGCTACACCCCAAGAGACAGATCAGGTCACATCTGAGGAAATAGAGCAGAAACACTGGGGGTCAGGGAACCACACACACAGAAACACACACCTGTATTTGTGTACCAGCTGCTATTGTTGCTGACACAGTAGAGTATGACCGTCATTAGAAGTTCAAAGCAGTGTGTGCAGGTGACAGGGCCTCACACACATTTACATTCGTCAAAAAATAAAACTGTTGCAGCATTTATATAGTTCTCAAAACATTTTTGTCTATTCTATTTTAAGGTGATATAAGTAAAGAGATCCATTATTTTGAGTAAAAGTATTTACAGTAGACATTGGCGAGAGGAAACTAATGTTTTGATCCCGTTTGAATTGTGCCCCATAAGGACTGTAAGTACTAAGCTTTGTGCACACTAGAGGATTTTCCAGGACATTCAAATCCCATTTTAAAAAAGTGGGATACCACAGACATTACGAGAGAATTTAAGTTTTAATATTTTAATAGTAAGGACCTCACACTCAGCGTTTATTATTATTAGTTTATTATTGACATTTGTGAATCGATTCAAAATCGTCCAAGTCAAGCGGTTTTGTTGCCTAAAGCTAACCAAGCGGTTTTGATGCCTAAAGCTAACCAAGCGGTTTTGTTGCCTAAAGCTAACCAAGCGGTTTTGTTGCTTAAAGCTAACCAAGCGGTTTTGATGCTTAAAGCTAACCTAGCGGTTTTGATGCTTAAAGCTAACCAAGCGGTTTTGATGCTTAAAGCTAACCAAGCGGTTTTGTTGCTTAAAGCTAACCAAGCGGTTTTGATGCTTAAAGCTAACCAAGCGGTTTTGATGCTTAAAGCTAACCAAGCGGTTTTGTTGCCTAAAGCTAACCAAGCGGTTTTGATGCTTAAAGCTAACCAAGCGGTTTTGTTGCTTAAAGCTAACCAAGCAAATTTTGTTGCCTAACTAAATCACCACCTTTTCACAATGCTTACCACGTGTGACAAAAGGTGACTTATCTAACGTACTGAAGTTCTGGTACACCTGGCACTGGACTGGTAAATGCTAACGTAACTCGTATGTTGTTTTGGGACACTTTACAATCAACCTATTTTGACGTTTAGGTATGAGGAGTATGAGGATAAGATCCAGAGCTGAGGCAAAACTACTGTCAAACTTCTCCGCCACAATTGTTGCTTAAGCTTTCTTAGAACTATGAACAAATAGTAAGACTGCAGTTGTACTAGTTGATCAACTTTAGACACATTTCTCTTTGACTTTCTAAAATTCTTCAGTCAGAGCAGATGAGGCGAGTATTAGTTTTGGTCTTGAACCTCACCATTAGAGAGAAGAAAATCTTCAAACATGTCAGTCTGTGTGTTCTGTACATCACCATGCTTGTGTGTGAGCGAGAGGCAGTTCAGTTTTAAAGGAGACAGAAGCCAGTCAAACGTCCGGAGCATCAAACTTCTCTAGCAGCCGCGAGGGTTTCATGGTTTCCTGTTCTCGAGGCCAAAAGACCAAAGACTGACAGCAGCTGACATGAAAACACTTCACTCACTCAGATATGCTAACTTCTGAGGAGGTACAGTCGGCTTCACCTCAGCCTCTCAAGAGATGACTGACGGGGGGGGGGGAATAAACCTTAAGGCCAAACGTTGCCTTGTGATTAGCACATTTTACAAGAAGTTAATCAGAAATCCCAAAGTTTTAATGGTCTGATATGACATATAATAAATAAATTAGAGATAGCATCTAAGTCAAATTGGCTTTCTATAATTAAAACACTGTCTGTGTGGTCCTGGATACACTGACTTAAACAGACAGCATTAAATCCTGTCACAGATCTCTCAGATTAGGACTCCGTTTTGGGGATTTGTGTGGCAGTATGGCTGGAGATAAGAATGAGTTAAATAAGCAGACAGTGTGAATGTTGAACATGATGATAGTCTTAAACAGGGTTTGCATCAGTAATTCACACACACAACAAGCTGAGACTGAATTCTTCATTCACTCTTCTTAGAATCTGACAGCTGTTTTTTGAGAACAGAAAAACTTTTTCCCACCATGATATGAGTTGATTTCTAAGATAAATGAATTGCTATTAAAAGTTAAAATTTAGTTTGTCAACAAGGCAGCAGCACACATACCTGTTTCAATAGCAGTGTTGGGAGTAAAGTGTGATTTATACTTCTGCGTCAAAATAGAAAATGTAACTCCACATCGAGGCGAAGTGGATGGTAAGAACTGTGACTGGCCGGCTGGGTAGCCTCGCAATGCCTCAGAGCCGGCAGGAAGTGCTGTGTGCTTTAAAGTAAATTTTACTAGCGGCCAAACCAGCGGCTGTATTGGATGTATATCATTGTATTTGAGCGTCACAACCTGAGCAAAATGTGATCCATTCGGCCAATAACATTTGAAAAGTCTATAAAAGCCGCACGTATATAATTTCACCCCCATTCAAGTTAGCGGAGGGCTAAACCGGAAGTTAGCCTGCTCAGCCGGCAAAAGTCAGCACAGTGGACGCTGTAGCGCTGCTGCAGACTACCGTTTGGTGGTGTATTTGCAGATCGACGGAGACGGCGACATACAAATATAAATCACACTTAAGGCATTACAAAAGTAACGACTTGTCAATCACCTTGTAGCCCCTCCCTCTATTTCCTCTAAATGGGACCATAATTTACTAAATGAACATCATGCTGTGTTGAAGAAGACTTGAAACTAGAGACTGAGACCATAAACTCATCAGGAAAGTGTTTACTGAGGGAATAAATCAGCTGACAAGTAGAAATATTTTCTCAGAGACTTTTATACAATCACACTTCTTTCTGCAGCCGGTGGAGTCGCCCCCTGCTGGCCGTTGGAGAGAATGCAGGCTTAAGGCATTGGATTCACTTTTCAGACCCGGGGGTTCCTGCTTGGCGTCATCCCGCCCGTTTTTCCCCAACATTATTGAGTGTATGAAGTTTCTGGCTCACTGCTTGATCGATTTGATCTGACTAATTAATTCATTTTAAGAAGGTGGATTCACAATCATCAATCATTCACGTGGGTTTTTCAGACGTAAACCTCACTTTGGACTGATCTTACCGCCCCCTCCCTCTCTCATGAGGCGTCCCCAGGGACTTTGATGCTTTGGAAGACTGCTGAAGGCTCCATCTCGAATGTGATTGATGGTCCTGATGATGGCGAGCTGTCGGCATCCATCGGCAGCTGAGATCTGCCTCGCTGCTCGTCCTGAATATCAAACGACTCGCGACCTTCCCCAAACTTCTCCCCAGCTACGTGAGACACACACACGAAAGGTACAGGACAGGAGTCTTGGGTGTGTTTGGTTGTGTTTTTGTGTGCAGCTTTTCCACAAACCCTGATACCGTCTCGGGCAGAGGTTCAGTTATAGTGACGAGTTGTGCAGCAGCATCTCTGATATGGAAAAGTGTGATAGACACTTCTCACAGCACCACTTTTTACTCAACTTCGAACTTTTTTCCAGCAAAGCGAGCATCCTGCTGTTTATACATACTGGCTAGAGTTTGTTCCTTCTTCTGAAGGACTGTCTGGGTGAATAACATTGCTCCTAAGGTCTGAACCCCCCGGGAACACCGTCAATTCAACAGCAACGCTCCTCTTCTCTGTTAGTGATGTTTGAACTGCTGTATTTCCTGCTCCTCAGGACCCTACTGTACTGAATGTACCTGCCGCATGAGTGACTTTATTGATTTTCAAAGATGGATTGATCCAATACACTCCTGATAATCAACTATCCCAGCAGCTCTTGGGAAAGGTACCCTTGAGGTACCTTCTTCTGACAAACTTTTTCTCTCTCGCTGGAGGAAACAAGACTAAGATTGAGTTTCAAGGGTGTGAAGAAACTACACAAGTTTTAAGTTCTGCAAGGTTGACCTACTTGTTGAAGATGGGGGTTGATTTGGAAAGTCAACACAATGAATATGAGAAACCAATCATCACCAATCAAGCCTCGAGAAAAACATCTTGATAAACGTGTTGTGGTATTTTTAAGATGGCTCAAGGTAACCAGTTGTTTTAGATCAGCCCAAACAAAGTGTTTCCTGGATGTTGACGTGCTTCATCAACACGTGACCGGACGACAGAACTCTGTGATTGCTCGATCAGCTCGCAGGTAACGTGGAGAGCTGGGAGTAGGTGTGGCTTACTGCTCAGGTGAGTTCGAATCCAGCTTGACGCGATTTAGCAAAAAGTCTTCTTCATTTCTCTTTTCGTGTGTGGCTATATGATGTAGTGCTCACTGATACGATCACGATCGCCGCAGCAGATTAAAGATGCGACTTGAAACTCGCCAGGAACGTGTTTGTGAATGTGTGAATGCAACCAGTTAGTTTGAAAACCAGTAGGGATACAACGCCGGTCAACTCCGGTCAGCTGATTGTTTTCTTCTGTGGTTTTTGTGGTGAGGCAGTGTTGTTAACAGGCTGCAGCTGGTCGCCCCCTGGTGGGCAAACTGTGCAACACCCATGACACGAGTGAAGGATCTGACTTTTTGTTTCTTTTTAATAGCCATATATCTGCCGTTATAAACGGCCGATGCCGATTAAATGCAATAACTCATTTCGGCCGATAAATCGGTCGGGCTCTACAGTACACTGATGTATACTAGTTCCTCCTTCAGGTTGTGGAAAGAGTCTCTGCATTAGACAGATGTTCATTGAGCCGGGGGCAGTTTGGCAATATTTGTTGCTTCTATCCAGTGGATGTTTCCCAGCTCAGCTGTTAAATGCAGGCGATGGGATGTCTTGCGGGAGGGGCGGGACATGTGCCGCCGTCTTTTGCGTTACGGGCTTTCTCTATAGGATTCTATTCTTTCCTTAAAACACCGCTGGCGTCGTGTGCTGCGAGGCAAATTTGTTGTTGATTTTAGGCTATATTAATAAAACTGACTTGACAATTGTGGGATATCTATGCCCTTTTCTAAATGCAGCTGTTGAAGAGAGAATGGTGAAAATGGTCTTTCTTCTCCACCCTGACACACACCTACACCCTCCTCCTCCATCCATCACAGCTCTGTGGTGAAATGTCAC